CCCTGTTTTGGAGGCCCACATACTAACAGTAAGGAATTTTTATTAAATACAAACCAGCATCTGCAACTTCATTTAATACAAATTTCTTTTCAGCTTTAAGATAACTGCAAGCGTCTAGATTTTTGTAGTGATTCTACAATTCTGATTATATTAAATGGCTATCCAAAACCAACACCATTGTTACATTAACACTGCTAAAAGCGCACTGCAAACTACAGAAACAATGGATTTTAACAAAGGCTAATCCCCCGTTTCACCTACTGAGTTTACAGAAAATTATTAAAAGGATGAAAAAACCCACTTCAAAATACCAGTTATTTCTGGAAACAAGAAGCAGATGTTCTCCTCTGTTTGGCTCAGCTGTGCTACAGTACAAGAGTGCCTTTGTTATGCTGTCAGCAATAATTTATTTTATTTATTACAGTTATTTTATAATGCCCATCAATGTACTATTTGTGCATGATTTAGACTCATGCACATCTATTTCTCAATATATTAAGCCGTCAAGAAGCATCACATACACACTCCAAATAGCAGACCCTGTTATGACACCATAGTGCAAATTAGGTTTTTTCTCTTCCCACTGTATTAATAAAAAGGGAACGGGAAGAGAAGGAGGAGTTAGTATCGCCAAATAAAGTTGAATTAACATGAATTGAGAATTACTGAAACAAGACAAAGTTAGGAAAATACAAGAGCTTAGAGTATAAAAATAAACTCTAACTCTTTGAAGTCCAATAAAGGCAAAGCTTACTGAATCACGGAAAGGAAATACTGTCTAGAACAAAGTCATGAAGAACTAAAAGGAGACTATGTTGGGAAAAGGATCCATTAAAAATGGAAGAGAGCATGCTCACGGGGGGGTCAGGGCGGGGGGGGAAGGAGCATAATCATTTGCTGTTTTGCCCCATCAGCCACCAAGACCTTATCTGCGGTAGGCACTAAACTACTGCCAAAAAACTAACATCACAGCCTTTGTATGGATCTGATAAGGAATTCTGGGCCTCAAAAAATTAAACCTTTAATGAGAGAGCATACACACTGGCATAAACATTCCCTCCTACTGCTTTGAACAGACAATTTCCTTCTATTAAAATATTCCCAAATTACTAATTTAATATCCCCACCTGTGACACAAGGAACAGGCAGGATGATGTGCAAGACAAAGCTAAAACACTGCACGGAAGTACGTAAATCCCATATTCCCAACCTGCAAGAACTGGAGGATCTGCGTGTATAAATACGCACACATTTAACACCACACAGACAACAGCATAACCCTGGAAGACAAATGCAGATATTAAAATATTAAACAAGGGTATGAAATCCTGTAGTTTAAATATAGGTATGAATTTTCTTTTTAAGTGATTAAGTGTCCAATTTCTGCAAAGGTTTCCTCTATCTGACAAGCCAGTGAGCACAGAAGAGAAAATTTGTTGGGATAATCTGTTATCAAAACTAACATCTGACAGAACCCTCACAAATTCTGCACTTTCAGGCTGAACCCGAGAGACAGACAGACTAATACACAGTGTCAGTAGACAGTCACAGTCAATCTACGTGACGAACGAGTCTTAAGTTTTACAGAAGTGGGACTCGCATCCTAGAGTGGCAATCTGCCACATACACAGGTATCAGTCCACAAGCAAACACTGAAAGACTTTCCACAAGAAAGGCCAGCTTGCATCATGTATCTGTACAATTTTATGACGCACCAGGGCAGAGGGGAAAAAGAAAAGAAAAGAAAGAAAAAAAATCAAAAGATTTCCCAGCCTTGGGTAGTACCAAAGAAAGTTTCTAAACGGAGTAACAGAACAGCAATTACACAAAAATGTATACATCATTAAATGTTAGCTACAATCTCTAGGAGTTCATCAAAATAATTCCCCCCACCAAATAAATCAAAGATTATAACACATGAAATACCTGAGCAACCACCACCAAAAAAAAAAAAAATCAAGTGCGTACATGTCTCACATGCATAACTTATACACTTTAACAATTAGCAAACATTGGAATGTTACCACAACACTGAAAACTTGCCCTAACAGAGATTTTTCCAAACAAAAATATTTGTAACATCAAGAATTAGAATTTTTACTTGAGCAAGCCATCGAGACAATTCCCCAAAATAAGTAATTATAAAAATATTTTAATATCTCCCTGCTTAGTTCCTTAGATCCTACAAATTAAAACATTTTGTCAAGAAAAAGTCCTAAAAATCAAAATCATATGGATAATCGTACCACTCACAAGCAAAATTTGATGTGTGGATTATTTATCCATATTTTTCCAGAGACTGCCGTACAGATGATAGTTATGAAGCACCAGACCATGCTACTAATCAGTGCAGCCCCAACCCTGTAATTTGTAGATGCCCAGGTAAACTGCTCGTATAAGCTGCAGCATCAGAAATAGAGAGGGGCGCAGAAAGGGACTGAAAGCGACCGAAACCCATGTGGTCAAGCAGCTGTGGCTCATCATCAAATACCAATCATGGTTTAGGGAATTTTGGGGGTTTTCCTATACAAAAATGCAGTCAAAGTGCACGAGCAGCCCCATGCAGCTGATTTCATGTGGGAGGAGCTGATGACACCTTTCTACAAGAGTAGGAGGGGAGAAATGAAGCCACACTTTTTGTCCATGAACAACTGGATACTTTAAGACAGGAGTCACCAGCTTGTACACCCTGCGCAGGGACACCCGAAACTGGGGTCTGACCCTAATGGCTGCACTAAGCAGGTTTCGACTTCCCTGACCTAAGTTTTGCTCCCTATAGATGAAAGTTGACAAGTCAGAATGCTCAGAACGATTTCAAAAAAAAAAAAAAAAAAAAAAAATTACATGGCAATTGGTGCTCTGGTTTCCTTATCACCCTATATCCATCTGTCATCACATCTCAGAGCATACGCTTGGGAAATCTGGCAGAGCGCGGCCACACTGGGGAGGTTCAGTTTTTTGCTTTGTGTCTGAACAGGTAGTACGGGATCCAGAAAGGGGACCCCCAAATACACTGTGCTATTGAAATAGGAAGTGCTTTTCTTGAAATCAGGTTAGTTTTTAAATGTATATAAACAAAAGTACCCCAAGAAAACAAAAGTATTTGACTGTAATTATCCACTCGGCAACAGGCAACAAGAACAGAGGCCTCAATCCTGCCAAGTTTTAAGTACATGTTCAACTTTAATCATGAGTAGTCTCACTGTGCAGTGTCTCTAAATGCCTGCCAAAAAAGGGCCAGATGAACAAGGGAATTAAGATTTTATTTTTTTTTAAATCATTTTAGAGGTGCTATTAGTTAGATTAACAAAGATGAGGGGTTGTTTTTTTTCCACAATTGAGATACCTTGGCAAATTCAAACCTGCACACAACCCTGATGTCAGTCTCAATGGGAATCTACACAGATCCACATGAACACACAATCATGGTCCAGTGCAGTTGCACATCATGATATCTGACAATTTAACATTACAAGGTTAAGCAAAATATTTATTCTAAAGCAGTTTTAGTCAAAATAAGGTGACAATCCTAAAGAATTCCAAGACAATTGCTGGGGGGGGGGGGGGGGGATGGGGGGAGCGTTG